CGGCCCAAAGCCATCAGTCCATAGTGACAAAGTCGTCACACCCAGGGACACAACGACATGCTGACTGCAGTGGGGTTTGAACCTGTGACCCCCTGATCCCAACACCAAAGGTCTACCCACTGAGCCACGCGCCTCCTTTTTTTTTTAACATTAAAGCATGGAGACATGTCACAGAAGAGGCACAAAATAAAATGGAACCTAGAAAGGAGCAGAATAGGGCCCCTTTAAAACAATTCACAGCCAAAGTCATACATTACAAACAAAGACAATACTCACATACAACAACTAAAGCATGTACTTTATAAAATACTGTATATGCTTGGAAAGATAATACAACAATAAATAAATAGTTTTAAATTGTACTGCACGTTGTCACAAATTGTTATCCCCAATACAGTAGTATTTCTACCTCAGTTGAGCATATACTGTAAGGTTTTCATTGCAATAAATTCCTGGCTGTATGTTCCCACAGGTATACTGACTACAAACATATAAACACACACACACACACACACACACACACTCAAATACATGCACACACACACTCAAATACATGCACACACACACACACACACACACACACACACACACACACACACTCAAATACATCCACAAGTGTTTGATTAATGTGTGACTGGGACTCCATACAGCCTGGTGAAAGAGCTCTTTATTGCTTCATTCGAAGGTGTTCTCTCTCTCTCACACACACACTAAACCTTTTTATACTAAATATTATGGTTGCAACTGATGCTTATTTACATTATGGATTGATCTACCAATTATATTATAAATTATGGTTTCTGGTGATTGGCTCATTGAAGGTGCAGGTCTTTAGATAGGTAAATAAATGACATACCGGTTCTGGATTGAAATCAGCTGTACATCTAAAATAATTCCCCATTTAAGGAGGGTGATAAACATGGAGGATCTTATCAATATCACCATCCTCAAACCATTTTGACGTTAAAATGCATTTACCCGTTTGTCCTCAACCTCTAATCAACAGTTGTCGGATCAACAGGTCTCCTTTCTTGCCCCCTTCCCCTCTGTCTTTCCCTTTCCTCCCCTCTTTAATGCCTCTCGCTGCTGGCTCTTTTGTCTGTTTTCTGTCGCCTTTATCATCCAGCAGCAGGAGGTCTGAGACTACTTCAATAGGAAGCTGCAAACTGACTTACTGTGTGTGTGTGTTTGAGAGTCTGTGTGTGTGTGTGTGTGTGTGTGTGTGTGTGTGTGTGTGTGTGTGTGTGTGTGTGTGTGTGTGTGTGTGTGTGTGTGTGTGTGTGTGTGTGTGTGTGTGTGTGTGTGTGTGTGTGTAGTAGTACGTACGTACGTACGTAGTACTACTATACGTACGT